TAGGAAAATGGAAAACAGGTGCTGTGATTTATCAAAACTGCAAATTAAACAAAATCTGTGAAAGTCTATTTTCCTCATTCAAAAATGATCATATCATATCATGTGATATATCATATCATATTATATCATATCACAACATGATGCCAGAGTGTGTTATAGATGACAGTTTCTGTTCATATTCTAATGTAAATGCTTCCAGAAACATTAATCCTGTTTGGCTTAATCTGTGAGACTGAAGTTAGTGTTGTCCAGATCTCAGCTGTTACTTTAAGCTGTGCAACTGAGCGATTGTGTGTGGAGTTCCCTGATGTTTACATCAGTTTTCCCCCAGGATTTTCAGGATTCCTCCCACCAGAAAAACAATCTCCATGGTAATCTGAATCTCCAAAATGGTCCAAATAGTCAATAAAAAATCAAATAAACAAGCCAGTCACATTTCTGCAATTATAGTCATTGTTGAATAACAGAACGCTATAAAAAAAGAATAAAATGCTAGCCTACAACACTATTCTTAAGAAAACCCTGTTTAATAAACATCAAAATTTTACTGATAAGGCATCATTTTTAACATCATTCTGTTTGAGCCATGTCCCTTTAGCGTTGCCTCCTTATAAAAGAGGAAAACCGCTTGCTTCAGTTTGGATGTGAGTGAGGTAAAGCTGAGTCTGTGCTTGTGGCCCAGAGTCTTAAATTACAAGCATATGATAGCATTAGTGTAAATTTTAAGGCTGATAACATATGGCCACGTGTGCTAAGATCTCAATAGTTTGCACCAGAAGTGTGTTTAAAAAAACAAAAACAAAAAGCAAGTAAAATCAGTAACAATTAAACAAAGAGAAAAAACTGAACTTTACGTGATCAGACATTTATTAATAACTACTTGTCATACATTTCTTACAGGCCCTTTCCGCTTGATCCTTCACTATTTGTGGTACAGGTAAGTCATTATTATTTTAAAAAGGATTGCTGTCTGCTCCAGGCATGACTTGCTGTTATTTCACCAGTGTAAACAACAAACATGCTGCATAAAGCTGTGACTCCTAGTGCTTAATATTAATCCGATTTTTACAGATACGCATGACATATTTCATAACAATCTCAAACCTTATGGATGAAGTAATGTGATCGGTTTTTTTTTTGGCTTTGACTATGAAAATTTTGTGTCGGGAAGACTTTTAGTAATGTGATGTACATAGTGACAAGAACTTTATTCTGATTTTTTTCTGTCTTGGTAAAAATATTTGAGTATTAAATGCGCTAAAAATTAACACGCTTCATTGCTGTTTTTTAAGTGACGCGATAAGCAGCAGCACTAACAGTGCTACTGAACTGTAAAAGGAACAGTGTCAACTCTTTTACTTTGAAACATTGTAGATCAACAGATGTAACTTGGCAATGCAGATTAAAAAACATCATAATTTTAGTTTTATTATAGGTGAAAAATTAATTATATTATTAATTATTGTGATTTTTAAATAATTAATAATAACATAGTAAAGCTAAATGACGATACAGCCGTTAACATTATATTGACATAAAGTCAAAAACTTTCAAGCAGAAAGTTCTTGGTATTTGAAATAAGGCCCCTTTCTTGTCTGCTATATCTTTAAAAAATATCAAATTTATTAGAATTTGTTACAATGTACCTCATGTTTCAAATGAGATGTTCAAAATATGGACTTTTTGCATACTGTTTTAATCAGTATGTCCCTCTGAAAAAATGCTGCCCATGCATATATGCTATACTGTCTGCCATCTTAAATGTTTAATTATAAAGGGCAATAAAAATGCATTTTTTTCCTTTTAGGTGTGTATCTTGAATATATATTTATAGTGCTATAGTACATTATATTGCTAACTAAGATGACAGCTTACTGCAACCCATAACACAAGTCAGTCATTGGCTTAGGTCAGGGGTGTCAAACATAAGGCCTGGGGTCCCGAATCAGTCTGGGAAAGACTCAAATTTGGCCCACAACTTGGCCAACTAATTTACCCACTGTTGTGAAAAGAGAGCAGCCAAAAGTAGCTTCATATTGACTCACATGTTTTGTAGGTAAATGTTACAGCAGTCTGAAAATATTCTTCTCACACTCTCCCGATATATCGCGCTAACACACGCAACGATTTTTCCTGCGGTAGATTCTGTAATTCTCTAGCACCAAGGCCTGCTTATCCTCTCAGCGGGTGGTTCGCTGGCAACATCAATAACCTTATTAAATATTTAAGGTTTCCTCCAGCCATGTTTATGTCCCAGTTCCCCTTCTCTTTCTGTGGATGAGAACGTATTAGCAATTGTGTTTGATAGAATGAGGCTGTTGTCCACATGCTGTGCTATTTGCATTTGTTGAATGGGGGAACGTGTTCAGCCAAAAACACTTTTACACATATTTATATTTGTGTTTAATAATTGTAGAAAACATATGTTCTGTGGCTAATGTTGCTAACTACTGTATTCAAAAACAAGGCTGTACAGACAGGAAAAAAAATCTATATAAATTATGAATGAACCCCCCCAATACCCACCCACAATACAAAATTTTCTCTCCAGTCATTGTACCTGTTTGATTTCATAGCGATGTTTTTGCATTTGTTAAGTCACTTAACGCTGACCTTTGAGTCATTCAAGCATAGAAAAGGCTCCTAACTAAAGGGATGAACCGTTGTTGTGTCTATTCAAAGGACCAGTTTAAAACTGTAGCATTATCAAGAAAGCTCCTCACTGTGAGTGAAGACAAAGTAAACTGTGGCCAGGACGATTATGAAAATGTTCAGAATATATAATTTAAATCACTCTCATCCAGCTGAATAAGAACATTTTAAAGACTTTAACAAAGGCAAAGTAGGTAAAGCTAAAGTTGTCCAGAGCTCCAAGCCAACCATAATCCAGCAGCCTCAGTATGAGCAACATATCAAAGCAGGAAAGTTGTGGAGTTGAGTGAAGAAGAGAAAGACATTGATATGGTGTTATTGTCTGATGTTATAAACATAATGGATGCACATAACTGACATATGTTTTATTATATACAGTAAATCTGTTGCACCTGCCTTTGTTTTGGTAGGAAAGAAAATATCCTGAATATCCTGACAGTTGTAGTTGTTGGAAAGAAAATCAAAATCAGCAAATCCAAGTCACTCATTTTAAAATGAGTGACTTGGATTTGAGTTGACTTGATTTTAATAAAATAACATAATGTAGTTACGTCCAACAACCTATATAAAGTCACTTGTAATATAATTTGTATGCACTAGACCTTTTAGGTATAGTACTCTGTTAATGTACCTACTGATTAATGTTTAACCTGTTTTAATTTGTTTTCTTCTTCTCGTTTATTTGACCTTGTGTTTCTCAGCCCCTCCAGCTCGTCCCTGCCTCTCGGTCTTGTCCGCCTGGCAAACAAGCAGATCAACTGGCAGCTGGTGCTTGCAAGGTGCAACAAAAACACACACGCTCACTTACAGACATGCTCCGTCTCTGTAATCAATACCTGAATGTGAGCTACTTTGTTGCTGACACACACTAAGTCTTTCTCTCTCTCCCCTTGCCTATCCCCTCAGCCAATCATTTAATTGCACTCGTTACAACAGACAAACCAAGTAGAAAGGCAGTTTTTAATTGACTATCGATTCCACCATCCGAGACAGTGAGAAGCGTGATCAAAGATGCTGCAGATGTCCATTAGTTTGATGTGGCTGATTTCTGTCTGCCCCTTTTCTCTCTCATTTCATTTCCTCTGAAACTCTTTTTGCTACGCTTAATGCTCC